ACTCGGAGAAGTCAAGGATCGCTCACTTATGTCCAGGGTCCAGTACAGGGGTAGGCCAGTTACGTAGATATACGGTGTAGAGGCACTCGGAGAAAGTAAGGCAACACAAATTTACACATCTCCTTCATTACGCGGTTCACGTCTGTTATACAGTATAGTGCGCATTCTTCTTAAAAAATCCGCATTAATTTTCTTTTCCACCCATTTCTTATGTTTTTCTTTCAGCTTCAAAAATATGATAACAAACAGGACGATTGATGCCAAAATTAAAAATGTTGTGATCAATATATTGTTAATCTTTATATAATCTTTTCTTCTATTTCCACAGTATTGGTTCCTCCAGTTTGGGCAATCGTCGTTTCATGTTCTTCATTTTTCGAATTACTATTCCCCATTTTGTTTTTTGGCACGAACACGCGCATACACAGTCACAAAGTTAATAATTATATTCTTATTCATTATTATTACGTAGTTGCATTCACTGCCGAGGCACACAGGAATGTGCAAAGTCCGCACTTTTGGCCTGCAACCGGACACGCGCGCTTGTCATGGGTTGCCATGAATTATGATATTAATAATGGAATGAAAGATCAACACGTTTGTTCAACTCGAGTGTTTATTTAATACTGGCTTACTTTCTAATACATCGAATATCACCTACAAGTACATAGATTACTTCACTACTGCGAGGTCGTTTCTCCCAAACTTTTTCCAAGACAAGTGGCAAACAATTGTTAGTGTACCACTCTGCAAACTGCTGTTTTTTGATCCTCTAAAACAATTGTTGCGTAATGACTTCTCCTTCTGAAGAACGAGGCCACCATCATTTTTCCCACGTTTCGACCTCTCTTCACTTTAGTTGGCAACTCTTCGGAAGGATACACCCAGACAGCAGACTGCCTCTTAGTTTCAAGATCATAACAATCAATCCAGCTTTCATCATCCGTAATTATGTTGAACACAGCATTTGAGTCACCTCTGTTAAATCTTTGAAACTCTGTCAAATTATGAGGTATCCATCGAGCACAAAGCTTCCTGTCCGCTAAACTTTCATGGAGGACTTTGTGCACTTGATTCATACCGATGCCTTAGCTTGTCCGAATCTGCTGATATGTCACTCTTTTGTCAGCCTCTATCATAGGCCGCACAACAGTGATGTTATCTTCAGTCGTCGCCGTAGATCGCCGTCCCTCGCGCAGATCATCGGTGAGGTTAGTGCGACCACGTTTAAACTCATTAAACCAGTTACAGTTACTCATCAAACCAGTGGCACGAGATGGGGCTTCATCGTGAAAAGACAATAAAAATCGATCATAACTTTCTTGTTGACTTAAATGACATCGAAAGTCATAAAAAATCACTGTACGAAAATTTTCTTGCGTTAAATTTATGCTGACGTGACACAGACAATTTTCAATTTTCCGCCAAATCGTAATGAAATGATTAAATAACGAGTTGAATGTAAATTCAAGAAAAACAACTTCCTTCTGCGTGAATCCCATATCTCTGGTGCCCTTTGGCCTACGGGACCCAAAACTCGACCGAGCTACTACCTCAAGGTATCCACATACCAAATTTAAAGTCAATCGGTCCAGTGGAACGAAAGTTATCATGTCGACATACAGACTAACAGACTGCCAGCTAAAACCATTAACTTCCTTTCAATGCTACGCAGAAGGAAGTTAATAAAATACATACACAATAATATTGGCAATTCCATTTTCAAAATTTGAACTTATGTTTTTATTATATCGTTTAACAAAATTTCACTACATTTTGATATTCAAACGACTATTTATGCCGCTAGTTATAAGATTTATCAAAATCCTGTTTCAGAAATAGCTCAAAGATCGAATGTAGCACCCAGAAACATAGAACGCGAACTACAAACTACAATCAGTCAAGGCAGCTATGTTTACTCGTGTGACGTCAAAAGAGATGAAGACAATCACAGGACGTTCCCGCCACAGATAAAATTTCAAAAAATATTATATTTTCGTTTATTTTGCATAAAATATACATATTTTAGTTTAAAATAAAGTGACATATATTTTTTACGCTATTATTTGATGGATGACCACAATTTGTAGTATATTTTTAAAGTTGTCAGATAGACTATTTTTTATCTTAGATTCTCAACGAACGAGTTTTGTCGGGAACTTGACCGGCGGCGGATTGCTGCTCCTGTATTATTGTTTAAATAGTGGAATTTCATATGTAAAAGTGGTGCGATGTTGTGTATTAAGTGTCTGCGCATGTGAGCTATTAGTGGAAACGGTGAAACAAGTGCTCTGATGGTAATGTGATTCTCAAGATAAGGTGTGTGTCTGCTTAGGCGCCTTGAGATACCATCGCAAACTGTCAGCTGTCTGCTGGCTCAAGTTGCCGTCGAAATTTCCCAAGGGCTGTACAATGTGACGCATCAATATTATTGTGAAGCAGTGTACTATGAAAGATAATGTTACGAGCTTGGGGTTCGAGATAATTAAAAACTGCCGAGTAAATTACCAAAATTAACACTTTAACTACATAACATTAATTACAACTTAAAACCACACTAATAATAAAACACAATTGTACTACTGATCACTTTTAGTTCGCCGTTATTTCGCTTCGAAGTATTCTCTTGTATCGCCAATTCAATACTGCTCGGTCGTGGTCTATACCAACCTTATATAGGGCCTCAGATAGTTTCCAGAACCTTCTACTGTAGCGACATCTAGTTCTTATTCTAATTCGAGTACATATCGGTCCCGAAATTTCTAGAAGGATCTTGACTCTCCTAGTTCTGCTACTCGACACTAGAGGGCGCTAGTGGGAACTAGTGTTGCCATATACAAGACATTAATAGTGGCGCGCAACAATAATTATACATTGTAACTTCTGGCGCAGAAGGGCTAGAACGCAGAACCGTAAAGCCAGTTATAAAAAAATATTGCAACGAACACAATTTGGCTTTGGTAACTAGTTACTGTCAAACTAACACAGTAGGTTCCTGTATAGGACAATTACTATCACGGGGGGTCAAGTCTCTATGGAGCCGATGCAAACATCGGGCAAAATAAGCGAAACAGAGACAGCGCTATACGCAAGACAGAGAAATCACTATTGAACCATGTTACGCATTGTATTTCAATTACAGTTTAGAAACTCTTATTTTCGCATTTTAATATCTTTGTCGCCTGCCCATTAAAAATTATCTTTACTTATCTTATAAATTATAAACTATATATTTTGTAATATACATAACAAATAAAAGTTGTTTAATCCATGGAAGTATAAATTAAATTATACGTTCCGATAAGTTTTATGTCCGATTGAAATGATTACTCTGTGCAACAAGCTCTGTAGCCGAAAATATAAATATATCTATGGTTGTTGTGAAATAAAAACGTAAACTAGATTATTATTCATTACATATTCATAAAATTAAGAAAAGAACAAGTTTTAAAAGTTCAATTTACATCAATTAGATATTATTTTAAAACGGGAATGTTTCAAATCTTTTTCAAATTAAATGGAGTTAGTTTTGTTTAACTTTTCTAAGCCAAATTCAAAACTGATGTCGATTTAGTATATTTCGTAGAAAAATAACTTAAGTGTGGTGTTACTAGCCAGTGAATATTTAATTTATGGTGACTTATTAGAGTTGTTTTACTTAATGAAAATGTTCAACGAATAATAATGGATTACTGAAAATGTTGTGTTCTAAGATGCGTCTATAATCATCTAAAATTGAGTGCCCAAGTTTATTTCTGTGTCTATAATATTACTAGTCAATAATATATTTAAATCTCTATGAAAATAATTGTTTTATTTCTGAAAAACTATTAACCGTGTTCCATTGCAATTTTCTACTATATGTATCAATGCATAGGTAATTGTTAACTTTAATCTTCCTTTTAAGGTTTGTGTTATGAAATATTTAAAATTTCAAATATGTTTTTCATATATTACTATTTCCATTCCAATTTTTTACTAATGTAGAATGTAATTTCTACATTCGCAGAAAATTGGAATGGAAATAGTAATAAATTATGATAAAAAATAGAATATTGAATAAGGCCGGCCATATACATACGGAATTCCGTTTCGAGATTCCGTTTCGGAATCCCGATTCGGGATTCCGTGAATACATCACACACACACGTTTTTTTCCGTTCGGAATAACAAGGGACAGTTGAGAGAAGTTAGCCATTGAGTCTAGACATTCCGCCAGCGAATAATGAGACGATTTTCTAATTGCAAATTCCATTGTTGCTGTGTCATTCTTACTAGGTGCATCCCCTTATCACCCTAAGCTTGCAATATAGTCAATACTATGTAAAAAGATTTATCTATCCAGAGATATTTTTTAAATATTTATGTATGTAAATTCTATCGACGAATTATTAAATAAAATAAGATGAAAGGTTACGAAAAGCTATACACCTACAAGATTAAATGTAAAAACATACATAAATACACCTACTCGCTTCGGTCGTGCGACGAACACTGAGCGCATTCCGTACGGAATTTACGTATGTGTGTTGCGACTCGTACAAAATCTATGAAAGACGTGCGTTCGGAGCGGCTTTTTTCTGTTCGGGATCCCGAACGCACAGGCGGCCATACGGAATCTCGAATCGGAGAAATTCCGTACGGAAAAATAACGTACGTGTGTGGCGGGTCATAGATTTTATATGGACTTGCTGCGTTCGGAATCCCGAATCGGAATATCGAAACGGAATCTCGAAACGGAATTCCGTATGTATGTGGCCGGCCTTATAGGGTGGGTAATGAGCATTATACATATACACACGCACACATTCACATCTGTTAGTTCATGGATCAAAAACTGGCGCGCTAGTGTCTCAAGCTGTTGGCATTTTTATTGTATGAAGTTTTCGTTCTTCCCGTCAGGGTACTTGTATTCTGTGATTACTATACTCTTTGACAGTAGGTCTGTAGCTCTGTAGGTATAGGTAATGTCAAAGTCACAGACCAGATAGAGAAACGTCAAAGTCAATTTTACTACAGTACAGCCTAGACCTAATGTTTTCAGTTTTCTTGTTGTATTGATAATTAGAAAGGTTATTCAGTTTATCCTAGCTTGCTACATATATATTTATCTATGGTTTATCCACCCTGAGATGTATACTACCTTATTGCAATATCATTAAAGAATATATTTAACTTATGTATTTTACGTTAGGATTAGGCTGCAACTACAACTCAATTAGAATACTTACATTTTGTTTGTAGTTGTTTCTGAGAAACTACATTAATTAAAAAATGATTGATATAAATAGCAAAATAAACTCTTTTTTTATTTTTAACTCTACCTTCGGTCCTAAAGAAGGAGAAGTATGTATAGATGTTTTTAACATTGATAGGCTGACTTTTCCAAAACAAAACAACCAACTAGTGATCAACATTTTGTTTTAGGAATTAAAAAGGATATTATTTTTCCATCCAAACCAAGTGACCGCAGATGCGAGAAAAATACAGGTCGGTTTATGTGAAGCTGTTGTAAAATTTATGTCGTAAGTATAAGTTCTATGTTAATAATTAATAACTTCTTAATTATTGAATAAAAATAATTTTAAAATTTTGAATTTATTTTCTGCAGAACCTTTTCCTCCGAACCTTGTGAAGCTCTGCAAACTCAGACAAAGAGATATATATTTTTCCAGCCTGAAAAAAATTATTGGATGGTGTTGGTAATACTAATTTTCACGCTACACAGTATACATATATAAAAAAAAATTCTTATTTTTTATTATTTTAGGTTGTCAGATTGCCATATCCAACTAAATCAATGTCATCAATTGCAGAGAAAAGAGGAGATATGGTAATAATATAGGAAAATTCATAATTAACATGATTGTAAAAATACATATCTTTACATTACTAATTTGCTTTGCAGATCCAACCCGTAATGATGCAAAATTTACTTGTGACTGCATACAAAATGTTCAGGATGTTTGTAGGCTTATTCTCTGATATTCCTGCAGAAGATATCTATACTAAATGTCAACAGTTTTTTACTCCTGTAAGTTGTTGACTGTGAACATTTTCATGATATTTTATTCATTATTATACAATACAATATATTATATAATACAAAATAAATTATAATTTTTAATTTCAGTACATACTCTCAAGAAACATCACAAATGATGTAACAAATGTTATTCAAGGCATCAACTACCTACCACTGGAAAAGAATTCATTTTTCAAAGTGGTCTGCTTTATAGATCTTTTAGAAATAAATTACTCTGATTTTAAATGTATTGCATTTATTTACAATGAACAACTCATTTGGTGTGTAAATTTAATGTTTCATTTTATTAATGTAACAACCTTTTTAAAAAGTCAAAACTAAGTTATTACCTGCATTCTCTACATATTTTTTGTTTCAGGAATGGACTTTCAACAGATGATATGCTGACACTGTACCAGTATTTAGTACAAAGTTTGCTTCCAAAACAAGTGGAAAAAGAGATCCAAGGAGGTGCTGTTACAGCTGCACAAAGACATGGTCGTTTCATCAGCCCTCCTGATGGCATTCACACACTTGACGACATTCAGAAACTTGTCAAAGTATACTTGAAGTTAGAAGATGATACAGAAACTAAACAATATTATTTAATCATATACAGAACTCTGAGTGCAACTATCTGTTTAACTGTAGATGGTGAGTATAATACAAGTTTGATATATCTACCTAAATCTATTATCTCATGCTATTACGGACAGAGATTTATATTTTAGTAAGCAGTACCAAAATGATTGGCTAAATTCAACATTTTACGCAATAAACAGAAAATGCACATACCATTTTTTTTTAAATTAACATAAAATATGTAAATTTAACAAAATGGTATAATCCTGGCTCTTTGATCAATGATATCATTGGCATGGAGCATATACCACATTTAGTATTTACACATATTATAGACAAATATCGAATACAATGTCATGGATGAAATACCACAGAACACTAGTGTTAAATAGCAGCTTAATGCTGCTGTTTCATATGGTAAGTGTAGAGAATAGCAGACCCTATTTACTGGAAATTAAGTGTTTCATCTTAGTTCTCAAGGGTGACAACACTTTTATTGACCCAATTATAACACAAAGTACATTGCATAATGTATCATATCCTTATTCTGTATAATAGATATATTGTCTTATGTTTATATCAACATTATACCTAATTAAGGATATTTTCAGCAAAGAAGACATTGGAATTAGAAACATTTAGGTCTCTTGATGCTTTTATTGGTCCTCAGTTATACAATATTGCATCAACTGTAAGTGAACAATGCACAGTACATGCCTTGCAAAATGCACAACTGGCCAACACAGAAAATAAATTTATATATTTCAATAGATTAAATTTGGCTTTTAAAACATCAGTAAGTAATATTTTTATTTGTTGCTTTGCTTTAAGCATTTTTAATAGTTTTTTTTCTATTCAATTTTTACCTTATAACTGAAAAAATATTTGCTCCAATGTGAAACCAGTTTTTAATTAGAAAAATTAAAAAATTTTAGGCACCAATAAATACTTTAACTCCATCAGCAGCTATTAAACCAGAGGTTTTGACTATAATTGCAGAATTACATTCAGATAGAAAAAGGTAAAAAAATCATTACAAAATAAAGACTATTTTTCAAAATAGTGAATATAACTTCCACGTTATTTACAGCCTAGGCAATTATGGTGAAATCATTATTAAAACCTTAGATGAATATTGGATTACTGGAAAATCATCAAATGAAAGAGAATTCTATGTAGTTATACAAAAGAAAAATGCTAATATAATTGAAGTAGCAGGTATTACACACCATAAGCTATTACTTCAGCATTTGTACATTTTGTAAACATAATAGTTTTTAGTTTTAAAATACATTTGTCTTTTCAATTGCAGAAGAAGTGAAACAAATATGTGAAGCACAAATGAAAGGCATTTTCTTTTATCCCATATGAAGATGTAGTAAACTAGAAGATACATAAATAATAACAAATTAAAATATACTAAGTAATTTATTTGTTATATTATTACATATTATTAAATTAGAATTATCTACAAAATTGTCTCTGTGTTTTATTGTCATTTTATGCTAATCTACAGATGTTTTGTGTTCTTTATTTTTAAACTTTTTGTATGATTTTATTATGAGGTCTCTATTTTCATAACCCCATGCAAGTAACACAAAGCATAAACAGATTCCTCCAATTGCTATGTGTGTAAACATTGCATATGGCATAATTCTATATTCTGAGATTTTACAAATAATACCAGCTATGAATAAACTCAATAAGAATATTTTTCCTACATAGAGACCCCTTAAAGGTTTAAAATTAGTATCTTTATATTTATTGTTTATAAAATGAATGCTATGTACAATTCTAGCAAACATATTGATACAATTAGATATGATAAAACCTACAGGTCCAAAGAAAAAAGTTAACACATAAGATAATACAAGAAAACTTATGGAAAAAATTACCATTAAATAATTATAACTATTAAGTTGTGCACTTGTCATTGTTGCAAAACAGTAACATTCTGTAATACCATTAACAGCTAACAGTATTATAGCTAAACAGTGACTTCTAAGTAATTGAACTGATAATCCACTCTCAACAAAAGCTTCCCCGCCATATAATGATAACAATGTTTTTGAATAACTCTGTCCAAATACAAAAACAACTAATCCAATTGAACTAACTATCTTACACACATGAGATAGGACAGTACATGTTTCCTGTATTTTATTTTGATCTTGTTTATGAACAGGCAACTCACGTTTAACCATTTGGGTAAAATAGAAATAGCTACTGTCTTCTATAGGTCTGAACACAAATCTTGCTGCTAGACTACCAAGATTGTTTACGACATCATAAGTTGCTTGTTCCTTAAATGACATTACTGGGCTCATTGACATTACATATTTCTCTCCTTCTGTCAACAATTGCTTCACAACACCTTGTTTAGCAAAGCTAACTGTTAAGGTACTTAATTTTTTGTTAAATAATAAATTAAAGGAACTTGAGTATTTTGGCATAAAATCTTTTAATGAGGTAAAGGTAAAATCATCCATATTATCAAATAATCTTAGCAGAACTGATTCTGGAACTAATTTACTTTTCAGAACCCCTTTGCTATATAGAGGTTTACTTTTTAAATACCAATAAAAGAAGCCATAGTAACTTAAAACTATAACTGAAATACTTCCAACTTGTGCTATTGAAAAGGCAATAAGTGCTAAAGATCTATCATATTTGATAATACACACAAACAATAATGTTCTTACAAAAATATGAATGGAATCAAGAGCTACTTTAAGTTTGACAAAACAAAAGAGTTGTGCTACAAGGGCAACATTAGCTGAACATAGCTCTAAGACACAAGAAAATGCCACTGACCAGCAGCCAAATGCATACTGAGATGCATATTCTGGATGGCCTAAAGGCAATATATGTATCCAAATAAATACAAAAATTAAAGACAAAATACAGCTTATAGGTACTGATAACCAAATCTGATTTATAATATGACTCCAATTAAATTCATCTTTCTGTCCTAAACAGGCCCTGTAAAAAGGTTCTCTACTCAGGAATAATATGGTACTTTCTAAAAGCAGTAACCTCACATTCATTATTCCCAGTACTTCATGTCCTACATTCCTTAACACCCAAGCATTTGTTATAAAAGTGATACACCGAAATAATATTTGAAGTAATATGTTAAAAGATGCATTCTCTAGACTACTCATCAACAAATTTCGTCCCATCTTGTCTTACTTTATTTCAAGATTAAACTGCAATAGCGTTTCCTTCAGCTGCAGCAGGTGATATGGATCGTTTGACTACGTATATCTTTTTATTTGATATACATATAGCGTACCAATGATCATCATATGTTATTGATATTTTCTTGAATTTTTCATTTGGACCAAATGCCAATGGGTCAACACTGTAAACAGAAAATTATGACTGGCCTTATGGAATGAGATCATACTTCCAACCTAAAATACGTATCACTTACGTGTTTGACAAACTGATAAGATCAATTATTATTGTTGCAATACGTTCATCATTTTCCAGTTCACCAGCAGATTCAAGGACTGCACCGTCCTCTGTCAATATTAAATATCCGGTTTGGTCTGGAATTTTTTCCATTCTGAAATATTCACATATGAAATATAATAAATCAATAAACAGAACTTTGAATATCCATCGAAAATATTTTTCAATTATAAGATTACTATCCAGCTATCAAAGAGCAGTGTTGCCAACTGCTTGCTTTACCCAGTTGCTAGACATTTTTCAAAATGTTGCTAGATTGCTAGCTTTTTTACCCCAAAAAGTAGCTAGAAGTAGCTAAATGCTAAAATAATGAAAAAACTTTATAAGTTCATATTTATTCCATAATAATGAGTATTACTAAGTTGAATATTTTTTATCAAAATGTTCGTGGCCTCCGCACGAAATGCTTAGATTTGTATAATAACATTTTATCGTGTGATTATAATTTAATATTGTTGTCTGAAACTTGGCTGCAGAGTGATATTTTTGATAGCGAAGTTTGAGATGGTAGGTTCGATATTTTTCGCTGCGACCGTGACTTAGCAACAACGGAAAAAAGGACGGGTGGCGGGGTAATGATCTGCACTCGGAGTGAACTATGCGCTACGCGTCGTAATGATTGGGATTGTAAAGGATTTGTCATTATGTGTGAGTTTATCGGCACGTTTTCTCAATTCGAATTGTAACTTGAATATTATTTTAGTTTATATTCCACCAAATGATGACATATTACCTGATTGTATTTATGAATTCCGAAACAACTTTGAACGGTTTTACCTGTTGGCACCCTCTGACCATTATCTTATAGTAGGCGATTTTAACCTACCTTGTTTAAAATGGAGTGCCTCAGGATGGTCAACAATACATTCTGGTCGAGCTGATATCCAAAAAGCTGCTAGTGTTTTGGCCGAGGATTTATGTTTTTTTGGCATGAATCAATATAATTTATTTCCCAACCGTTGTAACAATATACTGGATCTATGTTTCTCAAACTTACACTTAGAAATCAACCATTCAGACCCTTTGACTAAAGTCGATACCTTACACCCACCTTTTACAATTGATATACAAGACATTTTTGTAAAACCATTTAAAGAATATTTTCACTCAAAATATAATTTCCGAAAATGTAATTATGTTAACATAAATACCTTTTTAAAAAGCGTAGACTGGGATCACTTATTATTAAACACAGATACAGTCAACCAAGCCGTTGAGATTTTTTATGAAAAACTCCACCAATGTTTTGCTTTATTTGTACCACTATCCTCTCAAATTAGTAATCGTTACCCGTGTTGGTACAGCCGCGCACTTATTAAAATAATTCGAGAAAAATTTAAAGCACACGAAAAATGGAAAAAATTTAACAACCCTCGTGATTATGATGAGTTTAAGCTTCTCAGAGATAGACTACATAGAACACAAAAAAAAATGTTTTAATGATTTTATTCGCAATACAGAGAAAAATTTAAAGAATTCGCCAAAGTATTTCTGGAAATTTGTTAAGTCTAAAAAGGGAATATCTAATTATCCACGTAATTTTACCCTAAATAATGTTATTTACACGGAGGGACAGGATATTTGCTCTGCCTGTAATGCCTTTTTTCAAAGTGTATTTACTGTTTCTTCTTTGACGGATTCTGGTTCACACTGTTGTAATACTGTCTTCTCGTCATGGAGTGATGATATTTTTCGAATTGATGTCTCTCAGGATTTTATACTTACATGACTGAAAGTCTTGGACACCTATAAGAGAGCGGGTTACGACGGAGTGCCTCCAGTTTTTTTGTCATCATGTGCCGATAGCCTTAGTTACCCAATTACGTTGCTCTTTAAGCTTTCCCTTAGAGAATGTGTATTTCCCACACTTTGGAAAAAGGCATATATAATACCGGTTCATAAAAAAGGTTCTAAAACAAAAATTGATAATTACCGTCCAATTTCTATTCTCAGTACAATTGCTAAAATATTTGAGAGACTTATTTTTAATAAAATTTATACTACAATAGTTAGACGCATTCCGAGTACGCAACATGGTTTTCTGAAAAACCGTTCTACTATTTCCAATCTTGCAAGTCTCACTAATTATGTTCTTAATGAAATGAAAGGTGGAGGTCAAGTTGACGTGATCTTCACAGATTTCAAAAAAGCCTTCGACCGTGTGGATCACGTCATACTTCTTCAGAAGCTGCAGTCTCTCGGCATTCATGGGGACTTACTGAGATGGATTAGATCTTATTTGACTAACCGTTCTCAGGCTGTGGTTCTAGGCGGTTATAGGTCAAATTTCGTAACGGTTCCCTCTGGCGTTCCTCAAGGCTCCCACATTGGCCCTCTCTTTTACAACGCCTATATTTACGATATATGTCAATATATAAAAAATTCTCAACATTTACTTTATGCTGATGATAAAAAATATATCTGCGTGTACGCACTATCAAGGACTGTGAACTTATTCAAAATGACTTAAATACATTATACTATTACTATGCCGCTAATAAGACCACGGTAAATGTTGGTAAGTGTCAGAGTATTTCATTTACGCGGAAAACTAATCCCATAGTTTTTCAATACAATTTCAATGGTGTTGTAATCGAGAGGGCTACGGTGGTGCGCGATCTATGCGTATATTTTGACTCCCGCATGACAATGAACGAGCATATTGATGCTATTTGCAGTAAAGCTTTTCGTAATTTGGGATTTGTAACTAGAACTTGTCTTCCTTTCTCTAATTTGCAGAGCCTAAAAGTAGTATATTTCACATATGTTAGATCTATATTAGAGTATGCCTGTCAGATATGGTCACCATTTTATGCTAAACATGTTCATACTATCGAAAAGATTCAAAATAAGTTCATTTCCCATTTAAATTATAAATTTAGACGTTCTGGCTCTTCATATCAAGATGATTGCAGATTTTACGGCCTGTTAATGCTTGAAGAAAGACGTACTCTGATGGATATGGGACTTTTATTCGATATATTACACGGAGGAATTGACTGCCCTGATTTATTGGCCTACATCAAATTTAACATCCCAATGAAACGTACCAGACATACCAGAAACTCTTTGTTTTACATCCCATTTCACTCGACCAATTATGGGAAAAACGGTGTTCTAACGCGTTTGGTAGCAACTTACGATAGAAAATTTAGCTCAATTGATCCTTTTAATAGTACTAAAAGTGGATTCAAAAATAAAATTAATAAGTTTCTATTCACTCCAGCTGAAAGTAATCAGTAAATTGTAATTAAAATAGTACCTAAATTAATATTTGTTCCCTCGTTTAATACTGTTATTCTTTTATCATCAAAATGATTGTATACATGTATGTATATGTGTATGTATGTGTATGTATATATATATATATTCATATGTGTGTTTGTAAGTTTAATTATGTACGTCTTTTGTACGTGTATATATGTGTATGAGTATATGTATGTACATCATGAAAGTAATATTAATATTTCAATTAATTTGTTAATGCTTAGAATTAGTGCTTACCGAATTTGTTATGTAGATTTACAGTGTTATGTTTGGTTATGTACTTTGTGGATAACTATTATTGGCTTTTTCGTGTTTAATAATTTAATTAAAATGTTTAAGTATTAATAAGCTGTTGTTATCCTGAATAAAATAAAAATAAAAAATAAAAATAAATGTACGTAGTAGTACGTAGGTAGATTACAATAAAATGTCAATTACTGACAATAATTTTTAATTTTCAACAAGAGAGTTAAAATGTCTTGTGTACAGTCACGAGCAATTATATGTAAACAACATAGGACTATATTATATTATATTTATTGTCGACTTTTGTGGCACAAATAGCTTTGTTTAGGAACGCTTAACGTGACAAAGTTCTATGTTGTTTACATATTATTGCTCGTGACTGTACATTATTGAATAAAAAAATAAGTTTAAAATTAATCAATCAAAGAAGAAGATGTCGATATTTGGGGTTCAGTGTCTTTCGTCATTAATTCCGAATATTTTTCAGCGGTGCCCATTTTATACAGTACATCTTTAGACAAAACACGGTTATAACAGCCTTTACCACTTTTCACGAGGGAGTCACTAATGCAGATGATTGAGTTCAGAGTTAACTACAAATGTCATTAAATTGTAGCTGTCCGTTACCAAAAAATAGCTATATCTAGCTATAAAGTTGCTAAGTTGGCATCACTGTCAAAGAGTATAGTCATAGATAAATATATATGTAGCAAGCTAAGTATAGTAAGTAGTAACTGTCAAAGAGTATAGTAACTGTCCTATACGTAGATAGAGGATTACTATGTCTATGGTCCTATACAGGAACCAGCTCAGTGTGACCATCTTTAAAATACAGATCCTGTTCCTGCCTTACTTTGGTTAACAACTTGCCAAATACTGCCAAAGATGTAGTGAAAAATGCCTAAATACTGCCAACTTTATTTACCATTGTCTAATTGTATTAAAGTAAGAAAAGTAAAAATACACATTTAAATGCTATTATTTATTAAATTAAAATTAAACATCTTTCGTTGGTTTGAATACAACGCAATCGCCATGCTCACCAATGCCTTGTTTAACGTGCAAGATAGACGCTAAATGATTGTTTATATCTAAATCTGTTTCGTGTTTTTGTCTTAATTAGATTTATTTCACTGAATATTCTTTTGTATGTTGAATCCAAACATATTTTTGGAACGAAGTTCCTTATCCGACGGTACGAATTTGGCGGATAGGGACTAGGCGAGAAAAAGTATAGGATCTTTTCAGTCACGACCGCTTCTGACGTAGTGTAGACAGCCTTGCGAGAAAGGGAGATGGAATAATATCCATCTCCCTCGCACTTTTTATTATTTTGCCATGAAAGAAATATTATTTTATTTTAACCGATTTGTTGCAGAACCAATTTTCGACAACTTTTAGCTGTGGCGGCGAACAAATATTTAATGACACGCCTAGCGTAGCCACAGAAGTTGATGACACGCCTATTGTGCTATGTGTAAAAATAATTATGTTTTTTATGCCTTTTTTACTTGTTTAGACCTAATTAAGTTTAGTTGACATCAAACATCAGTTACAAAAGGAAGGATACTTGTTTTTAGTGGGTAACTACGTATTTTTCTACGTGTTTTCTTTAAAATTGAACGTAAGTGACTTTTTTTTGCAGAGATTACAAACCTTTTGTACTATTTTTTGCTTT